CTTCTCCTCCTCCTCCTCCTCCTCCTCCTCCTCCGCCTCATCATCATCATCACTTTCTCCCGCGTCTTCCTCCCCCGTCCACCTCCCCCGTCGTCGTCCTTCTCCTCCTCTTCTTATTATCATTATTCTTCGTATTACTATTCTTAATCTTGATAGTCAATGATCCCCTTCTTTTTTGATATGATTCCCTTCTCCTCCTCCTCCACCTCCTCCTCCTCCTCCACCTCCCTCCTCCTCCGCTCCTCCCTCCTCCCTCCTCCCTCTTCCCTCCCTCCTCCTTCCTCCTCCTCCTCCTCCTCCTCCTCCTCCTCCTCCTCCTTCCCCGCCTGCCCCTTCCTCCACTTCCTCCTCCTCCTCCTCCTCCTCTTCCTCCTCCTTCTACTCCATCCTTCGTTGCCCCTAGATTGGGCAAGAGCTCTGCTCTCTGGCGTCCATTCGGGACGATCCGAGCATCCCCAGAACGCCTTCGCCGAGGCGCAGATGCTGGAAAGCATCCCGAGGCTGGAAAACCGCCGATACCAGACGAAGAGGCCCGAAAATCTCTCACCTCGAACCCGACGAGAACCTCGAACAGCTGCAGAGCACCCTAAGTCTGGAACACCGCCGGGGACGGACGAAGAGGCCCCAAAACCTCGAACCTCGAATCCGACGAAAACCTCGAACTGCTGCGGAGCACCCCGAGGCTGGAAAACCGCCAGGCGAGGCCGAGCGGTCTGGCCCACGGGAGTCTGTGCGGACCTCGGCCGTGCAGCCCCTCCATTCTCTCCCCGAGGCGCTCGATCGTGGGCCACCTGCAGCAGCTCGGCGGCGAGCAGGCCAGCAAACCTCGGCCCTCGAACCTCGAACCCGACGAACGCCTCGGGCTGCTGGAGAGCACCCCGATGCCGGAGCACGCTGGCCCGCAGAGCCTCGCGCCTCGAGCCTCGAGCCCGAGCGTTGCCTCCCGAGGGCGCTCGCCCGGCCGGCCGCGCGCGTGGCGCGCAGCGGCACCTCTGCCGCTTGCGGGGGGGCCGTCTCAGGCGCTGCCCTCGTCCTGCGGAGGGGGAGAGGGAAAGGGGCACCAGGACACACAAAGTCGCCGGCCCAACGGGCCAGAGGCGTGCTCAGATCTCCGGGAGCTGGTTAGCAATATTTCTAGTTCGCGCGCGCGGGGCGGCCAGGATCCCCGGACTACCCCTCCTCCCGCCACAAGAGGCCCACAAGAGCCTCACAAGAGGCCCTGGGGGCCCCCAAGACGCCCCCCCCCACTTCCTATATTTTTCAATATTTTCTAGGGACTCGACGATTCATTGTGTCTCTGTGTTTTTTCCCTCCTGAGAGAGGCTCGGCGACGTTCCTCTTCGTGGTTGTGAGGGCCTCGCCTTCGAGTGTCGGAGGACCCGACATGAGGCAGAAGGCCGCCTGCCAGACAGCGGCCGCTGTCTGTTCTGGACACGCGTTGTTGTTGGGCATCGTACGCCTTTTTGCATACCCATGTCGGGCGCCCAGGAGCACCCGAGACCTCCCAGATGGGGACGGCGCAGATGGGGTCGGAGGATCGCACCGCATCCGCGATGCATCGCCGATGCGGCGGCGGCGCAAATGCATCGTCGAAACCGCCGACGTGTAGCCGATGCATCGCCGATGCATCGGCGATGCGGCGCGATCCTCCGACCTCATCTGCCGCGGACATTATTTAGGAGGCCTCTGAAAACAGACTGCGGGCACCAGAGGGCCTCGCCTTCGAGTGTCGACGAAGCTGACATCTCTTCCTCGGGGGGAAGGCGGCGGAAGTCCAGCAAAGGCCGGCGGAAGTAAAGCGACGGCGATTCTCCGCACCGAATCCAGCGGACGGCCGGCGGAAGTGAAGGATGCCCACAAAATTTAGAGCTGCCAGCCGTTTTCGATGGTTGCCGTAGCGGCCCGAATACAGTCGGACCTAGGCAAGAATAACATCCCTCGAGAACATGGGCCCCTCCGTCGGCTAAAGCACACAACACATCCAAGGGTACCCTCCCAATGATGCGCAATAACAGCAAACAAACACGAAGAACACTAGGGTACCCTCCCCGAAAGGACCTCGATCTCATACCTCAGTCAGACTGTGCGCCCCAGTCCGTTGGCGTCGTTCCCTTCTGTGGTTGTGAGGGCAGCCCAGCCGCCTGGTGCCACCTAGCAGCATCGTTGGGGCCCGGCCAAGAGGGGAGGGATGCGTTGGCGGGCATGATCTGCGAGGTGGGGATTTACCCATATCCACCGCCTGGGGACTGGCGTCCTGGTGCCCCAGCGGGCGGTGGATATGGCTAAAGTTTGGCCCCAGGGGCCCGAATATGACCATATCCACCGCCTGCCGATACCCCTGAAATGGATCCTCCAGGCGGTGGTCATGTATAAATTCCCGCCTGGGATGATCGGACTGGGTGGGCGGAGGAGGGGAGGGCGGTAGGCGGGGTGTCAGTGGGACTCGAGCGGAGGAGGTGAGGGAGAAGGGGGGGGCAAGAGAAGGATACCAGCGGTTTTCTTCCGTTCCCGGCGGTGTTCGTCCGTTCTCGGCGGTTCTCGACGAAGGGTTTGAATCGGCGGCGAGCGAAGGGGGGAGGGGAGAAGGACACCAGCTCAGGAGGGGCCCAGCTCAAGGCGGGAGGGATCGACCTGGCATCGGCGATACATCACTGGTGTATCGGCGATAGGCCCCCGATAGCGAATCCGAACGGTCCCAGGCGGGGGTGGAGGGCCCTCTCAAAGACGGCGGGGCTCTTCAGAAACCTCCTGGCCTTCTGAGGAGTTAGCTGTGTCTTCGGGGAAGGCGTGGAAAACTTCTCAGAAGGTCTGAAGACTTCCGAGCCTTCTGAGCATGCCCGCCCCATCTCACTTCCCCCCTTCGCTCGCTACCGATTGAAGGACCGGACAAGGTACGGGAAGAAGATGTGCAAACACTAACAGAAAATCTTGCCCATTTTGATCAGGGATCGCTGGCAGCGTCACCGCGGACGTTGTCCATTTGAGACAGAAGGTCGCCTGCCCAGCAGCGGCCGTTGCAGGAACGGAAATTTGCTGTCGGGCATCGTACTCAGTTTCCCATACAAATTGAAGGCGTGCCGAAAGGAACGAGTTGATATTGCGTCTTTGCTCGGTGAATCCGCTGGGTGGCGACACCCGAGTCCTGACCCCACCAGCCATCGATGCTCATGAATCGATGGGGGTCGGAGGTAGGGCTCGGATTGCGCACCGTGCTCGGCAAATTCCGAAGCCTACCCCCGCCGCCCATCGAGCTGCCTGCATCAGTGGTCGGGCAGGGCAGGGTTCAGACTTCGCCGCCGATCCACAGAGTCCTTCACGGGGGCTCGCCCGTCCCCCCCCCCCAAGGCATCGATCGACTGGGGGGGCGGATGGTGGGGCGGTTCCCCCACAGGCATGGCATGGTGCTCACAGGAATGCTGTGGTGCTGACAGGCACGGTTTGGTGCTCGCAAGCATGCTGTGGCGCTCGCAACCCCGACCCCCACTCACACCTCGTCATGGACTTTCCGGAGGGAATCAATACAAGTTCCTGGCTCGGGATCCATACATGTGCCAAGGTGAGTGCCGTCGTTGTGGGTAATGCGCCTTCGGCTAAGGGGCCACGGGACTTGTGAGGGGTATGGCGAATCGAGTGCGGGTCTTAGTGGGCCCTGGAAACGGCAGGGCAGATTTTTTACCGTTTCCGGAAAAAATGTCCCTTAAAAAAAGACACGGCAAAAAAACGGCGACCGGAAACGGCAACAGAAACGGCTCCAGGATTGGCACCGGAGCGGGAAGCTGTAAAAAAACGGCAAAACGGAACCGGCAAAAAAACGGCGTCGGAACCGGCAGCAAGAACGGCAAAACGGGACCGGCAACAAAGACGGCCCTGCCGTTTCCGGGGCCCACCAAGGTGCGGGTACGCCATGCGACCAGCCATAACTGCTTGGATCGGCGCCCTGGTTAGCAACCACATAGGGCGGATAGATCTAGTTCAGGGCTTTCTATATAGGATATGATCCTGGATGGTTAGCTGTTTGCGAAAGTGGTTACACGGCCACTGCAAACCAACTTATAACCTGGTTGTGTTAACCAGGCTAACCTGTTTAGGGCGCTTCCTGCTAACTAGGTTAACCAGGTTAAGATCCAGGATAGCGGAGGCAGCTTCAGACATGAATCTGACGAAATCAATACAACACATCGTTGGATACCTAATACAAATAGGAGGATGAGTGAGGGTCGGGCGATGGAGAGAAGGGGATGGGGGCGAGGGGGACGGGCAGGAGCAGGAGGGAGAGGAGAAGGAGGAGGCACCAGCAGCAGAAGGAAACCATATGGTTTTGTTCCATACGCACATGGATTCCAAGCGTGGACAGTACGAACCTGCTCGACAAAGAGCTGCCGACTTGGCCGTCGGAGAAACAACTGGAACACGTGCCACAAACGGTGTCCCCTCCCAAATCCTGTTGCCAACATCTTTTACTCCCGATCCGTGTTTGATATTCACCGCACCTTAACTAGTTCCGCTTTGCTTTAATGTCGAATTTGGGCGGAAGCAGAATCTGCGAAATACATCCCACAGCACACGGCCAGTAAATGCATGATTCCATCAGCCTAGACATCTCGATCAAGCGCGGGTCATCCCGACGCTCGCACTTAGCGAGCTGGCCGTGCATCTGCGCGAGAGGCCACAGCGACACGCACGTCAAAAGAGAACCCGAAACTGCCACGTGGAAGTTGACCCTCCCGAAACAAAGATCGAAACTATCATTGAAAAATGCAGCTACGTCTCCAACCTGAACTGCTCTGGAGTTGACCTGGGCTGCTCTCGCTGTAACAATGGGTTGGCCACTGAACAAAGGCACAGTTGCCCACATCACATTTGTCAACTCCTTACTGGCACTCCGAGGGTTAAGCAATCCGCACTTCAAAAACTCACTGCTAACGTCGTGCAAAGCATGGCAAGTTACATCTTCTAGTAGCCCCTTGTCGTAGGAGCAAGTGTTGTGACGAGCGTTAGCGTAACGCTTCGCTACTCTGTGCTTACGCTCGTGCACGAAAGTTGCTAACAAACAAGAGTGACGAACGTATTGGGACGAGAGGTGTAGCGCCCAATGATGCTTGGGCAGCCACAGCCTGTCGCCGTAAACCGCCTTGTGGGCCTCAAGGTGGGCCACAATCGCATCTCCTAGCTCATGGCCGCTGATCACACCAGCGTTGGCTACGCTGAGAAGTTCGACCACCTCGCACAACAAACGTGCACTCCGAACCTCTGCAACGCACACATCAGATGGCACAACATCTCGAAGGTACTTGTCAAAGAGCGGGACGACGCTCAGCTGTTCGCTAGCACTCCCTCCAGGAGAACCGTCCTCAGAGAAACGCTTGCATCAGAGCCCCCTCGACCTCTCCTGCTCCGTTCCTGCTCCTGCTCCTGCTCCTGCTCCTGCTCCTGCTCCTGCTCCCTCCTGGTGTCCCTCCTGCTCCTGGGCCATTTGGAAAGTCTTCCGAGTGGTATTCCGAAACACCCGAGTCCTTGTGTTTCCTGCAAACGTCCTTCCCGTTGCCGCACGCCCCTGGCCACTCCCACTTCTGCAAGCACATGCCAAGGGTTACCCTCCGAACCCGTGACGGGAGAGCTGAATTCTACAACGAACACCCCCCCTACCAAGTATACGCGCATGTAATCCCACGTCAGCACCTGGGGAAGATCAGTGTCGAGATCTGGATCTTGTAGAACTCCAGTGGGCACATAATTGATACCCAACGACGTTTGCAGCTCGAGTAACTTAGACTTCATCCCTGGATGGTTCCAAATGGTCCTGAGGCGCTCCTGGATTCCCTGGATGGACGCCTTTGTCTGGAGGTCGAATTTGGTGACGTCCGTGGTTGTCGATGGGAGGCAGCATCCTGACCGATCGGGTAACCAGCTCGATTTGTGCCCCAGAGAATTCTTGCATCGCAAGCACACTTTGTGTCCACCCGCCCCCTTACATTGGATGCTGAACTCATGCCCACGTTCATCGGCAAGCAGGGCCGCAAGACGCCCGTGGAC